AAAAAAAGAAAGAAAGAAAGAAGAAAATACACCATGCAAGACGATTACAAGATAAGCTCTCTAATCCATTTCTCATGTAAGCATAAATGTATCTGTCCAATGTCATGCTTAGTGTAATAGAAAGCTACAAGCCAGAAAACAAACAAGTAACAAGGTTCAAACTTCATTGGAAATAAAGATGTTTAACTCGAAACAAATATAACATGAGGGTTATATCATGGTGATAACGCCAATAAACAACACACCACAAGGAAAGTAACATAAAAAGATGAAAAGAAGGTCAGGAGGCATGGACATTCATGGCAAGAAAGGGTTAGGCTAGTCTCCAAAAGCCTTTGTAGCTTCCACACAAGCCTAGCGAAACTCGGTTACACCATTGGAACTCAAACGTTCATTTTCTTAGTTAAGTGATCCCAGGTATGCCTTGGCTGACACTAATACATCTTGCAGCGTAAGGGCAAGCTCCTTCATCTGGGTTAGGGATTTCTCCATCTCTTCGATATTCTTCGCCTGCTCCTTAATCCACTCATCCAAGCTCCTAGCCTTGTCACCTTCAGTAATGCCAAATTCAGCCTTCCCAAAGTACGCCTTTGCTAGATTTGATAGATGTGCTGGATGACATCGACCTCAAAGTTTATACTCTCGGCATCATCAATGGCATCCGTACATAGATAGAAGATGTCCTCATTCATTTTAGTAAAAGAGGTTGCCTCCACATGTCACATGGCCGCACAAAGGACAGAGAATTTGTCTTCAACCACCACTTTCTTAGCTTTATTGCGCGTCGTCAAATTTGGAAAGATGTCTAGTAAGTGGTGCGCCCATGCTTCCTACATCACGGGCGCTAGAACTTGCCCATTGCTCATAAGCCATCCATGGGCACTAAGTCGAATCAAGCTAGTTACACATCTCTATCGTATTCATCCTTTCCAAAGTCTCGAATAGCCTCACAGCGAAGTCATTGGCCTCACTTGACTTAGCTAGAGCTGAAGATGGCTGATCATCATGCTCTGCCTTGCTAGGGCTAGCAACTTTCTACACTGAACTCATGGAAGGCATGTTAGTATCTACCTTGCATTTTTCGGAAATGGTCTTCTTTGCAGCATCGCTTACATCTGACTCAAATTCTTTAGGGGCAACTTTGTTTATGTCTATGTTGCTTGGAAACCTACATCCTTGCCCCTCTATTCGAAACCATTCTCACTCTTGAATGAGGTATCGTCGTCACTGAATTTGTCACTACTACCATCGTTGGAATCAGAGCTGATTTCTTTAGTGACCACTTTTCCCTTTTGCTAACTAACATTGACTGCAGCCTTGGCTTTGCCCTTTGCAATGCTTGGTGAAGTAGATAAGGGCGTAATTGATCAACAAAGAATTATGCCATTCAACTAAGCAATGCACTAGAATGCAAGCTATTGGATTATTTGAAGTACCTTTCTTAATAATGGCAACATTGGCATTCTACTTCAATATAAATCCTTCCTAGACCAATTCGAAGTTGCTAGCCTTGAAAGGAGGCAGTTCGCTAATAGGACGTGGTTGTATATAAAAGAAGATCAGTCAGGCCAACAATTTAACTTCAATGATTGTCAAAGCATTTTTCAACTTGTGTGAAAGTGAAGAAGTTCATACCTACAATATCGTTGCTTGTGGATGAGTCCTTGCTATTTCGGGCTTCTTCACCATGCTTGGGGTGCCATATGACACCTTCACACCCCCTTTAACCTACAGCGAGGTAAAGGGGAACTCAATAAGCACTTGTTAATAGTTTATATATATATATATAAGGAATCTCAATTACAGGAGGCAATGAACAAGTCTATGTGACTTACAGTAAAAGGCTTTTATGACTAAGCTTCATTGACTTTTGGCCTTCTTCACTAACTCAGCTGTGAAGGATGCAGGGTCACTCCAATCAATGATAAAGTCAACAAAACTACGTATGTCGTCAGGAAGCAGAGGCTAGGCTCACTTATTTTGTTGGTCAGAATTCTTCGGCGGACTTGAGGGTTCACTAAAGCTTCCTCCATGTTCACTGCTAAGGCTTCCACTCTTTTAGCCTCTTCAGACTTGGACAAAACCTTGCCATCGCTAGGGATGGGAATAGGACCAAGGCCTTTGTTGGAAGCTACCAACTGCCTATACAAACGTTAAGCCACATATCAAAAGATCCTTAGTGAGGTCAATAACGATCAAAAGATGCATGAAGGAAAGGCCTAATAATACACCTACTTGGAATGAAGTGCTCAAATCGTAGTACATCTTACCCAAGTGCTTACCACCACAAATGGGTCTTAATTTTTTGATTCGCTCAATCACCTTGAGATCCAAATCACCCCAAGAGCTCTCATCACTATCACTGACATTACTTGTCTCTTTTTCCTTAGTAATTCTTACCTTGGAAGGTGTGGGTGCTTTGGTTTTGCTTTTTTTGTTGGCCGGCAAAATAGAAGTCCTTTGTGCTCTACTTTTAGGCGAGTAAGCAACACTTTTCCTTTTGCCCAAAACTGATCTCTTTGGAGGAGCACCTTCATCAACTTCTCTTGCAATGTCATGAAAAAAGCATGAAAACACAAGATATTTTTCAACACTGATTCAAATCTGGCCAAGCTTCTAAATGGAAGAAGAACCAAAGTTTGAGACAAAAGCAGAAATATATATTTACCTTCAACTTCAATATCGCCAGCTGCCTCCTACTCAAGTTCTTCACCAATAGCACCAACCTAGCCATATTCTTCCCCCACCATGCCAGGAATTTGTAAACAGACGGGTACCCACTGTCCATTGTCTCCTCTCATCAAGAAGCCCTAAAAGTGTTTACTACAATAGCTTAAGAAGGAATTATTATGGGCGAAGAGATGCTCACAATCTCGAGAAGTAGGATCATATTACACGATTTCTAGCAATGATTGAATAAAAGCCCGAACTTCTTTAGCAATGTGTCCCAATATTGCAACATTAGTGACGACAAAGCTAATGTTCTGGCAATACTGAAGAACCTAAGCGTGGCAGCACCCTCACTCTAGATGGCTATAGCAACTTCATCGATGTAGGGCTGCATGGCCTTGTTCCAATATGTTTTATTCGAAGGAGCAGGTGGAATGTCCTGATCATAGCCAAACTACCTCACAACTCTTTTCAGGCAATAGCATTCTAAACTCCATGTCCCCTTCCATGTAATGCACAACAACATAGATGGCATAATCATTGCTAACATTTATAAATGACTTAAATCTCCTGCAATAAAGTCCACAACTTGGCTCCCAAGCACTGTTAAGAGTGTCTTGTCGAAGAAGCTCACTTCAGGTGGAGCAAATGTCCCTGGCATTATCTTGTATGCATGAAAATTAAAGCTACCATAGTCATCTAGAAGGCCATCAACCTCTGAGACTATCTGCCCCTTTATTTTCCTATTTCCTATCTAAGAGCAGGCTAGTGGAGTTATTCCACTGGTATAACCACACTTCTCCATAGGGTATTCCTTTAATGCTTTCCTGCCGGTAACACGCAAACATTTGTAGCAAAGACAAACACATATGCGACTCAATGGTATAATAGCTGGCATTGAGAATCTCATCGAAGTGAAGCAAATCGAGCATGTGATAAAGCGTACCTAACATTAGTAGAGCTAAAGAAAGCATCATGCCTTTAGCCAAGCGGATTGCCAGAGGAATGCACTCAATAATAATTTCGTGGTTCAGGAAACCCCCGAAGACAAACTTATTGAACCAAGCTATAAGGAAGGTTGCATGCATGTATGGAGTATCTCTGCCTTAGTTGGTTCAAGAGTATCGCATCTAAGTTGGAAACTCAATACTGTACTCTCCTTGTCATGATCGGGAAGAAGCGCTAACATTTTTCCTCATCACTTTCCTCAAGGCTACCTACATAACACGCTTATTTGGTGTCAATGCTATGTGTCGTGGATCTTCTTCCCCAACAATGGGCAACAGCATTAAGTTCGCCACGTCCTCTAAAGTCACGGTTACTTCTCTAAAGGTAAGAATGTAAGTATGGGTACTTGTGCACCATTTTCTCACCAAGTGACGAAGGCACTCCACATTGCCACTAATCTACAAACTTTGACTTAGAGCCATTGACTTAAGTATCCCAACGGCACGTAATATTTCCACAAAGCCATTCTCGGCAAGCATCTCCTTAGCCCAATGCATCTAATCCTCCATCTTACCAGAAAGGAATGCGATGTGCATTGGCACCGACATCAAGTCCTATCTTTTAAGCCTTGTCTACATTACATCATTTGGCAAAGGAAACCATGCTGCACTAATATCACCCCCTTTGAAAGCCTCAAGCAAAACTAGATCTTTTTACTTCTCAGGCGCCCTTTTCGATGACCAAGCATTGAATTCTAGGAAGCCGTCCCAGAAGGTATATCGTAGGTCATGGTACGACTGCACTTTGTTGATTGGATAAGTATCAACCATTTCCAAGGCTTTCTTCAAAAGGAAAATAGGAAGGAAAGTAGAGGTTCGGATTAGAGAAAGGATGAGAAATTTGCAGCATGCAACCCCCCCCCAAAAAAAAAGAAAGAAAGAAAAGAAACAGAGATTCATCATTACCTTAGTTGGAAGAAGGGTTCTGTCGAATTTGCACATTGGATTAGTCTCCTTGGGAAGAATTCGTTCGCTTTGTTGAAAGATCCAAGAGTTTTATGAAGAACAATGGTAAGAATTAGAAATGCAGAAGGAGAGAGAAAAGGGTTCAACGGTTTTACAAGAAGGAAAAAGGGGAAACTGAAAAATCTGGCTAAGAGATGAGGAAGGTGGTAAAAAGAAAAAAAAAAAATTAAAAGCAGCATTAAGTGAGCCAACTTACCCCCTCTGCCACTTGTTGCGTATTGGCATGGCCAGGGATAATGTGAAAGGCTAGTAGATCAGGCACATGCAATTTGAATGCACTTGCACACACAAGATCCCTTTTAGAATCTCCCCTTTTTATGTGTCATCATGATGGGATTTCTGAGGAAGATTTAGTTTCTTTATTATTCAAAAGGGGGAGTTACTTTTCTCCTTAACCGTTGAAAACTTCTCTAAGATAATTCCAAGCCCCTTTAGATCTGAATCGCATGTGAACAGTGCAAAAAGCCTTTCTACAGTAACTACTTAAAGTTTATTATGTTTTCCAAGAAGAAAAGCAGAGCAGCCCGTGTAGAAATTCTAGGAAAGACATGACCGAAAGCCTGCTCACTAGCCTTATATTTGCATTAATTGAAGTCACTGCTAGGTACTATTCGAATCACACTCAACTCTTTTCAAGGAAATTATTTCAGTAAAATTCACAAAGAAAGGTTCGGCCAAGTGCGAGAGTAATTTTTCTTGCCCGGAATAATTTCATGAATATTTCATGGGCACCATTTATGTTGCCTGCTACCTTGGCTGATTTTGGCTTTGTCTTGCACATATTTGAGTTTTATCATTCCCAACAATCCTTAACCCCTGAGCCAAAGTCTTGCTTCAACCCTACTTGGTTTTATCCATGTCGAGACTTCGCCAGTAATATTAAAGTCCCCAACTGGAGTTCTCACCCCAGCTGTGTCCAACTAAGTCTATGTTAAAATCCTATTGGCATCATTAGATTTCTCGGCTGATACTTTGGCCTCATTCATCAATGACAGCCGAGGCCTACTAGACTTATGTACGCTTATCACTATCTATTTTGCATGGTTGGGTTTAGAACAATCTCACCTCTATCAAAGTTGCTTCAACATTGGCAAATTATTTGGATAGGGCCAACCCCCAGCAATACTAAGTCTTTCAAACCACATCTACTTCGACAGAAGGATTCACATTGATCATCTGATTTCTACATGATTCCAACATGCTCGCGATCATGTGGAAAATGTTCCAACAATTTGCCTCACTTAATGCCAAGCAACCAAACTTCTTGTCACAACTTTGCCCGCTTAGGGGGCTAATGTTGAGGAATGAATTTGTATGGCCTTGAAATTGATGACATGAACAGCTCCACATCAACAAGGGCTCATGTGACTTATTTTCCACATCAGACATGCTATTCTTATTTTCTACTAATTACTGCAACAGAATCAACATCGCTAGAAACAGCATTCGTCTACTTCGTTAGAAACATTGCAAAATGCAGCCCACTTTAGCTTGCATTTTTATATACATGACCATACATGGCTAGATCTATTTCCATGACATGGCTAGATCTATTTCCATGACATGGCTAGACGTTTTCTATGGTCATGTCCCCCGTAGCAATATTCACTATTACCTTTTATGGCTTCCAGTGATGGACAAAGGGCCAGATTCATTATCTTATTTAACGTCCAACAATAGGTAAAAGACTACATATAAAAATAGCATTCGTCTACTTCGTTAGAAACATTGCAAAATACAGCCCATTTCAGCTTCCATTTTATATACATGACCATACATGGCTAGATCTATTTCCATGACATGGCTAGACATTTTCTATGGTCATGTCCCCCGTAGCAATATTCATTATTACCTCTTATGGCTCCCAGTGATGGACAAAGGGCCAAATTCATTATCTTATTTAACCTCCAACAATGGGTAAAAGGCTACATATCTCTACATATCTTCATCAAATTGACTCCCAACAACGGACAAAGAGTCAGATTTCTACATATTTTATCTCACAAACTCTCAAAAAAAGACAAAGAGTTAGCGCAACTTTGTACGATTAGTATAAGGCTGATAACAGTTGCAACCTTACGATCAGATGGGATGGCTACCCTCCAATGATGACAATTCATCAAGTAGCGACTAACGATCCCTTGGTGGTCGCTCATGCATGGTGGTGCGGTGCCCAATAGGCAATAACAACCATGACCAACCTCTGACGATGTGGGTATAGCAAGAAAGGCTAGTGTTTGTCAATGGTATCACACCTTGTTGTATTGGAGGCCATGGACGCAGTTGGTGTCCCCATTCCATGGAGACAACTCCACCT